CGTAGTGAGATCGGGGCCTGGTGTGACGGGGGTTTAAGCGAATTCAGTGCTATGAATTTTTACTGCTGGTCCTCTATGCCAGTATATACTCTCTGCAGGTGATAGTTTTCTTTATGATTTGAAATTTATTAATAATGTATAAATAATGTAAAAAAAAAAGAAAAAAGATAAAGAAGAAAAAAAAAAAACGTAACATAAAATAATATAATGTATTAAATTGATGGTTAATTAGTTATTTCATGACAAATAATTAAAATGCAAGTATTTTATCGTGTAATGGTTTTGCACAATTGTGATGAAAACTGCCAGTTTTGTTGGCATTACCAATAGAATTCTAGAAAACAGATACTGGCTGTTATCAGGGATTAATAATGACGTACATTTATACAGTATATTTGTCGTTATTCACCCCTGCTGTTATCTGTCTGCTGCAGAAAACACTGAGGTCAAAAATCTGGCCAGTGAGGTCATGGAACTGATGAAGACCCAGGTCGGTGTTGAGGAGTTTAGCAGGGTCTACGCGATGGTCACCACGGCAAAGGCAGAGAGGCGTCTGCAGCGGAAACGCTCATTGGCTGTTGAGGTAGGGTGAATTTTTAGCTCACCTTGACATCGTCAAGATGAGCTATTGCCATGGGGTGTCATCCGTCGTACGTCCGTCCGTCTGTCTGTCCAACATTTGGATATGGTTCAACGAGTAACTGTGAGAACCATTGACCCAGGTTCAATTGCATACAGTTGTCTCCTATGGGAGATGTGAAGCGTCCTATTTTGGAGCACGCCAGTTGACCTACTTTCGAGCCACGCCCGCTTTTGGCAAAATGGAAATGGCCATAAGTCAGGTTCAGGTTCAAATGGCTGTTTGCCGTAATTTTTGGTATGTAAATGAATAAGGACTGGCCACAAAACATATCACAGGAGTTTTGATTTTTTTTTTAAATTATGCAAATTAGGTAGATTTTGCCAATTTCACTATGCATTTCAGTGCTGCTACGGTCAACGATAACTCAAGAACCGTTTGACCCACATGTTTCAAATTGCATACAGGTGTTACTCCTATGGGAGAGTTTGAACGTCCTATTTTGGAGCACACCAGTCGACCTACTTTTAGAGCCATGCCTCACTTTTTGGCAAAAATGAAAATGGCCATCTAGATTAATTCGATTTTGTTAAATTTACCTACCTACCCTAATCATACCTACGTTTAATATTGTGTTTTAGATTCTTCGTTACAGAAATTTGACTGGATAGTTTTTATTGCTTTTATTTGCGCGCGATAATCGAAAACCAAAAACCGAAGTGTGTATATTTTTATGTAAAGAAATTCGTGGATGCAGCCAGTCTGCTTAAATTAACTTGAATAATGTTGACAAAGCAATCGCCTTTGAGGATTTTTAACAGGATGGAAAGTAGTAATCATTTTGAAATTCCCCTGAGCTTGAGCTGAATTGTAATGTCATGCTGTCAATCATTTATTATTTCTCCTGTTTCATGTTTTCATAATATGTGGCATTTGTTTTTTTTTTCATATTGGCGATCCAGTGTTCCCCATTTAGTTGTTCCCGTTTCATCTGCCAATAACGTGTGCATAATTTGTTGTAAAAATATTTCGTTTGCATCTTTCACTTCTAGGTAATCACAGATCCCAGCCAGCAGTTAGGAAAAAGATCAAGAGAAATCTCAAGAAGCAGGACAACAGAAAGAGAAAAAATAGAAACGAGAGGACCTGGCAAGAAAATAAACAAAATGCAAAGAAACTGTCAGAAATGCCATACAAATGGATTGAGAGAGGACTTTAGGAAGGTAAAAATTACAATCTGATGCTTTTTCATGTCTGAATATATGGTTTACTAATTTCAAGTTTGTAAATAACATTTAATGTTTATAAGCTTAGCATAAAATGTTTTCTGTAGTTATACAAGAGCCTTAATTTTCGCGATGAGCAAATATTTTCGTGATTTTCTCGAGGAACGAAATGTTGCTTTTTAACGCGTACTGTTTGTTATATTGTTGCAGTTGATCGTGAGGATATGCAAAAGGACTTTGTTTTAAACCCTTATAGCAAAAACAGAATGTATTGTAAAGTAACAGTCTTCATATAAATTGCAAGTGACAAAACAAGATTGTCGTGTTTAGTTTATTATGTGATAATATTTCCAATGGCATAGATCATGCTGCGCGATTCATAGCACTGAATTCGCTTAAACCCCCGTCACACCAGGCCCCGATCTCACTACGCTTGTACTGCGCTCTAAGAGCGTGGTGGAAACGCGTAGAACGCAGCACAAACGTCTATGGACGTACTGCGATCGCGATCGAGCGCGGTGCAGTCACCATGAGCGTGGAGAGCGTCGCCAAATTTTGAGTATGTTCAAAACAATCGTGGTGCGAGCGTGGCCAAAAGACAGCGCAGTGCGGGCTATTTAGAGACGTGGAAGGCGTAGTAGCCACGTAACTCGAGCGTAGTACGAACTTAATGATCGTATCGCAAGCATGTCGGGTGCGTGAAAATTGTCTCCCCGTTCTCAGCACGATGTCAATACGTTTTCATCACGCTGTTACTACGTCCGAGCGTGATTAAGTCGCACTAGGAGCGTGACTGGCGTGCAGTTGAGGCGCGGTGAGCGTAGCTTAGGCGCGGTGAAAGCGTCGTTTGAACGCAATGCAATCGGATTGGTCGCAATAAAGACGCAGTGGGCGCAATGCAAGCGTAATGCGGGTGTGGTGTTGAGCGTGGTATGGAGCGTGGTGAAAGCTTTGTTGGGCGCAATGAGATCGGGGTAAAGACGCACTTAGATCGTCGTATCGGCGCTGGGGCCCAATTGGCCACGCTCTCACACTCGGCCAAATTTTTTGAGCGTGGGGCGATCGTGATGAGCGTAGCTCTAGTGTGACGGGGGCTTTACCTGCTATCGTATTGGTGATCTCTCTATGCAGTGGTAGTAGCATGGTGTATAAGTACTGGGAAAGATTGCTCCCTCCTAGCTCTAGTGCAACTGCTGCAAGCCACTTGAACACGCATGACCTCTGTGGATGGTCACAAGACATGGTAAAGTTTGTAATAAAGGCATTAGCATCAGTGTTGCAGATAGATGGTTCAATAAATAAATTTATATCATGCCGTTAGATAATTGTATATACCTATAATAAAGTATAAAACGTATACTGTAGTCAAAAATTCAAAAGAATCATCTAAAAATTTAACAGACATCACTAGACACTAGGATACGGTGGACAATTGTTGTTTTATAATATCATTTAGAAGAAAAGTATTAGAGCCCCCTCCCTTATATTGTATAAATTATACATAAAATGTGGGTAAGCAGATATGATTATACCATAAATTACAGTTGCTGACACATGAGAAAAAGGAAGAACAAAAATCAAGATGGAGGCATTCTTGTTACAACCAATATGTTGCATAACATTTGGCCAATAAACACAATAAAACCTTTCAATCGCATTTCCAACTCGCCACTCATTTACAGTATTATTTCGCCTCCATGACATACCCTGACTGTAGCTTTGGGATTCTGTGAAGATTCTATTCTTGCCTCCTTGCAAATTTTTCTCAGAAGCCACAGAAACGTTCTTTGTCGAACGTTTTCAGAGACGTCTTGAGTGGGACCATCGTCGTCGTCATCGTCGTCATGCAGATCTCGTTTTACGCCATCGCCATGACTGGGATGACCTCCAGATGGATCTGCCGTAGATTTTGCGCCCATGCGGAAAAATACTTTCGCCAAATATACGAGGTTCTTTATCACCTAGAAGCAGCAAATGTACAGCTCCTTATCAGATAGTTGCTAGAGCTGCCCTTAATTATACCGATTCAAAGGTGACGATATTAGCAATAACACAAAAATCTCTATACCACACTTCATTTACTCTACTGTTCACCACACCACAGCATACTACAGTTTATACTACTCCACACTCGACATGTTTAAATAAATACAGACTG